TATGCCACTAAGATCACATCATTCAGTCAGTTTCCTCTATGTGGCCGCTGTTTGGCCCTATAAGGCTAACACAGACAACCCGAGCAGTGACAGGTATCTGTTCTCGCTTGGTTATTGGCGATGCCTTTAACATGTACATGAAGCAGTCGATGATGCAACTTCCCCCCGCTCATAGTTGTGTCAGAACAAAGAGGCTCTTCAGTCTGAAATAAACACAACGATGATGTGTAACATTTTGCGCATTATCCCCAGAATAGAATACTTCACGAGGGTATTTTTACACTCCCGAGATGTTTTCTGCCTTTTTGATCTCCATCTACCAAGAATGGCGATGGAGTGACGCGGCGCGAGCATGAATTGTTGGTCCTGGTCGGCTTTCAGGGGCTCTGAATACCCTTGAGTGCACTTCTCCTGTAATAGCAGCGAGAACAATGAGAAGGAGCCACTGCACCGCTTAATGGTTTAATGTATGTATGACATAACAGAGAGGGACATTGTGATTAAGGACAATAAGTTTGAATATATTTCTGGAAGGGGGGCATTTTGCAACGTGGTCTAAGTTGAGGGATTTTTTTTATTTTTTATGTGGGTTGTACTCGCAGCAGATGCTTACATAAATATGTCTCATGAAGATAGCAGCTTCCACATATTTTCGGACTATTACATCAGGGTTTTGTTGTTGCACATGCCGGGCTCAGTTACGATCTCTCTGCGTATAGAAAGCAAAATAGTTATCAAAGCAATTACAACATCATTTATTTAAATAGGCCTGAAACCTCGATCCCCCAACAACGATTAAGTTCTTTGTACATGAAGGACCTATTTCTATGTTCATCCTCGATTTCACACTCGCACAGCTGATAGATTTTATGAGCGGTTTCAAAAGTAATATTAATGACTATTATTCTCATGTGTAATTTGGAAAATACAACAAAATTGTCTAGTGCCGACAGTGGGTGTAGCAAAATCACCGAGGGACATTTTAAAAGTCTTTAAATGCAAGTTTTCAAAAAAGACGATCCCTGTCTAGAGAGTCGACTCCCCAAATGATAAAAAATCTCACCGAGTATTTGTCATACTAATTCATCTCAAATGTGCAGCCCTACTTTTGCTGACACTGAATCCTGAGTCATTCTCTGACATTTTTCAATATTTTATGCTCTTTCCTAAGTCGTGCTGAGCAGTTACGGAAAAAAAAAAAAGAGAGAGCACCAGCCTCGGACAAAACCGGCGAGCTCTGATCTTCCATCAGGATCACTGGTCAGCAGGGGACAGGTGACAACAGAGAGCACGAGCTAAGAGGATCCACCCAGTGGCTTACACTGCCGGCATCCTGCCATCCGATGAGGGGAAGGCTCCGCCTGTCCAACTGCCTGCCTCACTGAGCCCCTACTGGGAGCCTGCCGGGGTGTAGCCATGCAAAATGGCTCCAAATGAGAGGGATGATATGATGCTGACTCAGACCAGAAACAAAATCTGCCTGGTAACCTCACGACATGCTCATCTAAATCTCACTGAGTGACTGCAGATTCAGATCAAAGTCAGTTTGCTCAAATCTGGGTTAGATTTTGGGTAACTTTTGTTCAAATACACACACATGGTCGCTCCTGTCTGGTGCAGGCACATTTAAATTACATTTTTTAATCATGTTATCAAGTTAAGACGGTTGATTGCTGACTGTTGTGGACAAGGAGTCATTTTAGGAGTTTTGATCGGGACAAAAATTGAGAGCTGGAGTTAAAATCCTGGTAGACAAAGAGCTTCAGAGGATATTAGTTGGATCTACTGACTACATGGCTTCTGATGTCAGAGGTTACAGTTGGCAGAAAGAGTTAGCGAGGGAACACAGGATTGTTTTGTGCCGTTGCCAATAAGAAACAATGAGAGCTGACAGCTAAATGTGAATCCACATGACATTCAGACGTACACAGCACAGCTCTCCTGGTTCTTGTTTGGTGCAGGAAATAAAAAAAAGTGGGCCGATCGATTCAAGACTCTGCTTCCCTCCTACTCAACCTGGAGTCCTGCAGAGTAAAGCCTCCCGCGGGAAAAGACACCCATAGGCTGCTAAACTTTTGCATCAAAAAACAGAATGTTCACGTTGTAGGCCATCTTTCTTACTTCAAAAAAGAAAAGTGCCATTTACAAGAGACATTTAGGATTTGTTAAGAGTTTTGTGTCTTCATGTTAAATGGAAGTCCACTCACATTCACACAGAAACTTCATAAAACTTACTGTCCAGTTTGATCAGACCACATCAGACTCCAAAAGCTGAAGCTGAAACAATTCATCACTTAATCAGCTGCAGCAATTTCATAAATTGAATAATCAATTAAAGTTGCTTCAAGTCATTGATCAAACCCATAAACGTCTCTGTGTTCAAATGGCTCAGATGGAACTCTCCACCTTTGCTTCAGCCAGAATGTGAAGATCCATTAAGTCCCCACTTCTGTTTCCACCGTTTCCCCAAGTACCCACTGCAGCTTGAGCACACCAGCTCACCTACAGCTCTGCTCAAACACTGTAAAGCTATTCTACATCACACAAGGATAAGATGTTAAACTGGAATAATCCAGTCATATATGTTTGAGCCAGAAGCTGATTCTGAAGAAGAATAAAGACACAGAAAATCCCAGTCTGATGCTGACGGGATTGGTTTCTTAGATTAGCTACGTATGAAACCCTGGAAGTCTGGATCTGTGTTTTTGAGGCTGTCGCTGCAGTTTCAAAGCAGAAACACTCTGCTGTGGCACTGGCTGCTTATGGCACTCATGTCTCATGACTCATGGACATGTTAACAAGGTGAAAACTTGATTTGCACCGAAGGGGGCCTTTAGGTAATGTCACGATTTGCTTATTTTTTTACTAACTAAATATTTTGGGGGGTTTTCTTGACAAAAAAAAGTAATTTGAATGCATCAGAGCTGAATAGTTTTCATTATTTTACAAAACTGTATAAGCAAATACTAATTAAGAAAATAACCCACAGATTAATCAATCGCTTGTCGCAGCCCTGATTCAAACGCCTCTTATCTCTCACCATCGCTTTCATGCAAAGCTCAAACTCTTAAGTAACAGCAGACAGACGTGTAACTGTTGGACGTGATTTGATTATGGATAATAATGAAAACCGACTGCCGCTAATTGCCACACTGCTTTACCAGTAGAATGGATTTCCATTAGTTTGACTTAAAAAACATGTTTCCAGGAGAGCAGGCAATTAATAAAGCTGTTTTGTTGGCCAAAAAAGACAATTCTATGAGAACAGAAAGGAAATTATGGACTACAAAGGCTTCAGTTATTCCAGTATTAGCATTCTTTTCAATTACATTTTGCTTCTGTGCACCTGCTCTCTCAAAAAAAAACACTGTGAAATTCTGCGCTTCTTTTAGTTGCATTGTTCGGGCAAGGCCATGGCCTGAGGCTTTCACTGTTTTGATATATACTGTAAAAGCAGCGCAGTGGATGGCAGCAGAACAAAAGTGGACAGCAGCTGAGTTGGATGATCAGGCTGCACACTGCGAGCACCATTATGTCAGTGCACTTCATGCAGATATACTCATCATTCGCCATAATGAATAATTGTCAGCGGTGTAAAACAAGGTGGGTTTTTCATACGCGCACCCAACTGTCCAGTCAAAGTTGACCCTGACGAGAAACCTCACATCCTCCTGCCAGTGTGGAATACAAGCACAACGCTGTTCAGTCACATCCAGTTATCATCACACATCCGTCCTTCCATCCTGCCAGGTCAAACTGCATTTTATCATTCGGAATGCTAATACCAACCACAGTGAATACCACACTGGATGAGGAACCATGCAGCTCAATGTAAATTAAATGGCCCATCCTTTGAGTGCACTGGCTTATGTAAGCTGCTGCTGCTGCTGCTGCTGCTACTGCTGCTCGTCTTCCCCCCCGCTCAGCTCTTCATCCCCTGCTTTTCTTTTGCCTCCAGCAGCCCATCCAGCCCCTGAAACCCAAACGTCTCGTAAACACACAGCCCCATCTTAAACGAGAGGGAGCGCAAAGGGGGGTGTCGGCGGTGGTGGTGGTGGTGGAGGGTGAGGAGGGGATGGGGAGCCTGACTCCTGCATCCCTCATTTTCTCTGCCACCTTGAAAACAACACCCCAATTCCGGTTGTGGTTCTCCATTCCATCATTGTCTGAGCACATCACACAATCCTCTTTATCCTCTCAAATCCCAGCACGCTGCAGACTGATGGCTTTTTTTTTTTTTTTTTTTTTTTTTTTTTTTTTGCGGTCTTTGAAAATCATGTATCAGGAATAAATCCTGATCCTCTTTTTGTTCCTGCACCTTCTTTCTTTCTGTGTCTCTTTCATTCTCTCTGAGTGTCCCTCCATCTAGCCATCCCCTCTCCCCTCCTCCTCCTCCTCCCTCCTCCACCTTGCCCCTCATCTCTGAGTCCTGCAGCCACGAGCGCTCTACGGCAAGGTTTCGCAGTGCCTTCTTGACATTGTCATAACACTGTTTTTTAAGACAATCTTGCCTCGTTGGAGAGTGCACAATGGAGAGAGACAGGAAAGATGATGAGGAGGGAGGGTGGGGGGGTTAGTGTCGGGAGAAGAGGAGGAGGAGGAGGAGGGGAGGAGGGCAGGCCTGGGATGAAATGCGACAAAGGTTGCGAGCTGGATTCAAACCTCACAATGTCGTGTGTAAACGGTATGTCCAGGACGCCTCGGCTGACTGAATAAAATGCATTTTTAAGGAGGTGACAACAGCACAATGGGCAGAGAGGCAGAGGGAGGACAAGCTACATGATGTGATAATGCCAAGCCATTATTTCATAGCCTCTCTCGCTCTCATACATTGTCTCTGCCAGGATTGTATGACTATAAGAGCATATGCATGCCTGTACAGAGGTATGTGGCACAACACGGGGTGCAGATCCATCCATCTGAATTCATTATCATCAGAAAAGAGGGACACGGGGGGGAGGCTGGAATGTGAATTCTCAGTACAATAAGAAAAGCCTTACCTCCACATTTCAGTTCTGCTCGACCCTGCCTTGTTTCATCCTGTTCCTCTCTGCCGACTCCCTCCCCTTCTCTCCCCATGACAGCATTTTTCTGCTATCTATCTCCCCGGTGAGGCTGCTTTTCTCCTCCTCCTTCAGTTCCTCCTGTCTGATGTTCTCTTCCTCTCTCCAAAAATAAAATAAAACAACACGGCGCGCGCACACTTCCCGATCTCTGCGTCTGCCGGCTCCTCTATTCTGTTGTTAAAGTCAAGAGGCAGGTTGATTTGTGCTGTCCTCCTCCCTCTTTCTCCCTCTCGCGCTGATTCTATTCCATTCACATCACACTAAAGCCAACCCCCTCTTTCTCCTCCTCCTCCTCTCTCTCTCTCTCTCGCTCTCTCTCTCTCTCACATAGAGCTTCACCCAGCCTCTCTCTCTCTCTCTCTCTCTCTCTCCTCCCCCCTCCTCATCTCCTTGTCAGAGAGGTTGAAGCAGCAACGGACGGACAGCAGAAAAGAAGAGCTCTCTGTGTCACACGCTGAAACCTAAAAGCCTTCATTTGCCATTAACTCGCACGTTTTCTGAATCAAATCCTCAAGAGCCGGCTGTGACAACATGACATGTGGCAGATTAGACGCTGATGCAATGTTGTATCAAGATTCTACAATTTCCCCACCTTTTCTTTTTTCTTTTTTGCTAATTACTGATGGAAACAGGCGCCCCGCAACATCAAACACATCCATCTGAAGTCTCATTCTTCTGTGCCAAAACCGACATTTCTGCACAAGTGAGATAAAGACACAAAAGCTCGGGGGCAAAGGTGAAAATGGCAGCGTTTGTGTGTGTGTGTGTGTGTGTGACAGTGTGTTTATTTGTAGAGACCTCTGTGTACTCCCCAAACGTAGTCAGTGTGGGTCGAGATCATAACAAACAGTCAACCTGTTTTAAGAACAATGAGAGCACAGGAGTGTAAAAAAACTACAGCTCAGCTTCCCCACTTCTTTTTGAAAAACCCACATACCTGCGAATTTGGCCGCAACCATTTAGTGATGCTCAGGAGAGGCCCCGAGATGAATCACGCCGCTTAACCTACGCTGCAGCAGAGCCGAGTGTCCGGCACCATCCCCCTAATTACTGCGCCGAGTTCTCGTCCTGGCCGTACCATATGGCCGTGTGCGCTACGAGGTCAGCGGCTCGGGTCTGAGAGGGGGGGAGGCAGGGAGGGGGGGAGAGGCCTGCGTTGATGGCAGCATGTGTCTGGAGGAGATAAGAAAAATAGAGACGGAGGCAAGAGTCGATAGTTGTTACAACAGTTTTTCTTGCAAACAAACTCTTTGTGGGTTCGTCTGTGGTGCGGAGGTGTTCTGGGAGTCGGTTGCATCACTCAGTGTCTGTTTAAACCGGCTGATAGATAATCCAATGGAACTGCCTAAACTGCTCATTACCTCGCATGCAGATGAGTTAACAAGTTCAATAATCACATGTGGAATAAAATGGCAGTTAAAAGTCCTTGTTGCAATGTGGAGGTCATGATTATCAAACAAGTATGAACTAAATAATTAAAATTAGGATCTTAATATTCCGACTGTTCCAACACCAGAATACAGTGCAGTCTAACAAAACCTACACTTAATGATTGTTTTCATCATCAAATCAATCTGTTGGTTAGTTTCTTGAGCAATCGATTGGATACTTTATCCAAAAAATGGTGAAAAATATTGATCAGCAATTCCCAAAACCCTGAGATGACTTCCTCAACTGTCTTGTTTTGTTGTACAACCTAAAGATATTCAGCTAAAGGGTGAAAAAATAAGAAAATATACACATTTAAGAAGCTGGAATCAGAAGATTTTTTCATTCAAAATGACTTAAACTAATTATCAAAACTCTTGGTGATTAATTTAAGAGACGATACCTCTCGATAAACTGTTGCAGCTCTATGTCCTGGTACACAAAGATCTATAAATGTATAGTTTTCAGCTCTGGAGCATGATGTAGGATGATGTGAACCAACTAAACACAACCTCAACACTCAGTGCTACAGTGACACCATGTGGAAACTTACCGTGAACAACAAGAAGTGTGTTGTGCTGCTCACAGCTTTGCAGAGAAACGCATCTGTATTTTTTAAAAAAAGGAAAAAAGAAAAAAGATTTGTACCTCTCACACTATTTTATGAAGTGAAACAGCAACAAAAGATTGACTCTCCTCAGCCATTATCTCAATAAAGAGCTAAATTGATTGTTAAAATTTGAGCCAAGTGAAACACAACCAGAAAGCTGAATGCTTTTTAGTTCTTGTACATTAACTTTCATTAATTATTCATGTCATACATTACACTTTATGCTCTAAAGTGACAGCTATTAATGGATAGTGTCCAAGAATCAGAGTAAAAAAAATGCAATATATAAAAGAATCAGGAGGAAATCTGGATGTCAGGAAAGCTTCCCAAATGAAAAGTGTGAGCAGGATATTAGATGAGTGTGAAATTCCTCCTGCTCTCGTGGGGGACATGTGTGGCTCTGCCAGGTGCAGGCAGAAAAATAAGTGTGATGTGATGCAACTAAGTGTAAGAGGAAAGCCTGATAACTCAAACCTGACTTACAGAAACTAAACCAGCATCAGGCCAGAGCTCCTCCAACATGCACATCACCGACCTGCCCGCTGCAGCTGCTGTTGAATATTTTAATGAATGACGCCTCCTGTAGGGGGAAAAAAAAAAACACTATTAAGGTTTTAAACGGTTAAAAGTGGCCGGGATATCAAATCTTTGCCTACCTTTCCACGCCCAGATGTAACGATCAGCAACAGGCCTGGACTAGCCTGAGGAAAAACATACACATGCTGCAGGACATCCAGGATGCTTCCAAAGTTTGAGTTCATATTTTCTTGTAAATCTTACAGCTTTGGTTACCACATTTGATCCTTTACAGTCGTTCATTTGCTGTTCAAACTCACTCATTCCCTCGGCTGCTGCAACAATTACTGTGCTTGTGTTAAACAAGCTTTACTTCATGCTCTGGTTTGAACTCTAGCACACAAGAAATAGAAAATGCTGCCCCCTAGTGTCCAAACTCTATACAACCTTAGTGCCAGGAGCTTGAAGCATGCAGTATTCATGGCCAGATTGTGTTCCACCTGAACTGCATTGACCTTTTGTAAAACCTCATTTGTGTTAGATGCAAACATACTCCTTACTGAAATTTAAAGATATTTTCACTTAACGCAAACCTTTCAGCAAGCAGAGAACCTGATAAATATGCCGGCGGTACCTCAGGAACCTCTACACCTCCTGAAGCAGTAAAACTCTGATTATCTTACCTGTATATGCAGCTGAATCCAATTCTCACACCTTTTCTACCAGTATAAATACATAAAAACACACATTACAGACACTTAGAAGGGTTTTTAAGATTTTTTTTTTTTATCAATTCAACAAGCTTTTCATATCAAACGTTCAAATGATACTCTCAACTGTGTTTCACATAAAGATATACTAAATCATTTCAACAGGGTAAATTCAACATCCTTTTTGACATGTAAACATAAAACACAAACTGAAGGTAAGATATCACTTTTAGGTCTTTTCCTGTTAATATTTGTGCAGCCTTTTTAGATAACATTGAGTAAAAAAAAACAAAAGAGAAAGACAACTGTACACTAAATTTACATTCCTCTAACAGTTCAACATGGCTTCTGTCTTCAGTATGTACAGTCACAGGGAACGTATGTGTCACTCGGGGGGGAAGATGATTTGTCTCAATGATCATGACAGGAGCATTATGTGGGACAAACATGTTTACCTGAATGATCAAACCAAGAGCATAAATAGTTCCAACTACTTAAAATAGTGGGGAATGGAAAGTGGAGCTACTTTAGTAAAAGATAAACCTGAACTGACCGTGTTGGTTCTTTAGCAACAATATGCAAATCTGATGTCTGTTTTAAAATTCTGTGTATGAATCAAAATGATCTTTGCTGCTTTTTTCTGTCTTTACAAGTGAGACATATTTATTAGCTAACACTAAGAACAGCCTAGAGTGTATGATTAAACAACAACAACAAAAAAACTACCAGAACCTTTCTGCTCTGTTAATTGAAACATTGAAATTCAGGCACTAGAAGAGAAACACAAACTGAAATTTTGTTGTATGTTGAGATGAGATTTTCAACGGGCAAGTATGTTACTGTAAAAACATTGTACACAGCAAAAGGCATTTTAGAGATGTTGAAGCCTGAACAATATGAATTAAACTCCCTATTTAAAATGCCTACATTTCCGTGTGTACGTCAGGCATTAGTTGAGTGCTACAGGTCCAGAACATTTTTCATAACTTCAGTCACACAAGGAATTTTGTTTGACCGCAATCAAACCTTTTAGGGACACATAAATAATTCTGATATTCCACATTTGAACATGGCAGATGTCAAAGACAACAAGATGCTTTTGTTTGTGTTGGCCAACGACAACAAAAAGGAAAATAAATTCACTTTCTGGGTTTTTACAAAAATGAGGACAGATGGTGCAATTCACTTTAGAACTAAAATTATTATCTATAAAAACCACTATTAGGTGGTTTGCATGTTTGCAATTTTAGGCTTTAATCTACACTATTAAACAGACACCGTATGTCACTTTTAATGCACTGTTTTGGTCATAAACAGGATCTTTTTACACAGTAGAAGGTGTGTTGTATTTTTGGCGGTGTTACTCTTGACCAGTCTTTCGTTCGTCTCCGAGTTTGACAGCTTTATAAATTCACAAGGTGTAATTATTAGTCTCAGTAATTGTATCTGAAGAGAAGTCCTGGGTTCAAAAAGGTGCTCGATGAGACCGCTCAACAGAAACCTTTATCTGATCCACAGTCTGCTGTCCCAGTTTGATGAGAATATATTAGAGGACCAGGCTGGGACTCTACCATTTCCCCCTTTTGCTCCAGTCCTTCGGAGTGAAGTGAAGGCATTTAGGATCTATGCGCAAGTGCCTCTTCTGCATCGCCCTCTCGTGCCCTTCCACAATGTCCTCTGAAAGCGTCAAGATGTACTGACCCTGGATTCAAGAAATGTGAAAAAGCCAACTTTAGAGGAAGCACATAATACTTAAACAGTGATGGCAGTTTTAAAGCAACATTTTACTCACAATCACATCTGTCAAACTGTTTCATATCATTGGATATTGTAACTCTTTTTGTTTTAATATGGGAGAAGTCCTTTTGAAACCATCTTTCAGCATAAAAGCATTTATGTCTTAAGCTTTGGGCTTCGCCTTTGCCTTTAGACTGGAGAGTGGTGTATAGACCAAGAGTGTTTTCTCTATCACATGTAGTTTTGTCTTACAGTGGATGGCATCTGGGAGAAAGCGGCTTTAGTGAAAACACCACAACAGTAAGTGCAGGAATCTCAGCTTCTTCTGTTCCATAAACTGAGATGGTCAGTTTCATACTGTATTGTAGATTACATGTGAATAATCGTGAAAGGTACTTATTTAAAGCCTAGTGTTTGTAGTGAATCCAGCTTTTCCAACACGGTGCTCTAGAAAAGCTTTTGAGACTAAGAAACCAAAACACGAGTGCAGGTTTGTTGCTGAATTAACCAGGATCTGACAGGTTTCTTCAGATGTAAAGTCTGTAGCAAATTGTGACCTAATGATTGTGGTGCAGCTGAACAAAACTAAGTGTGACTGTGAGTTTTCTTTAATACATGATAGAAATATTGTTAGCACTTTAAACAAAACTCCTTCTCAACTGCAAATCATCAACATTATTACTATTGGGTTACGTTCTCTGGCTACAACTGCATGTCTATAAATCATTTATGTCTATGTGGACCATAACTTTTTTTAATCTTCCAGTTGCTGTGTAGTAAGATTCTATGGACATGCAAGTCTGGTAAATCATGAATGAATGGGAATACAACTTGATAGTGCAGTGACGGTGTTCCCCTTCTTCAGCTCACAGTCTATCGCTCTCTAGAGTGTGGAATCATATTTTGAGGTTCACTGTATTAAACTGGATGCTTTGACCTTTTCTCTTTTTTAAGGGTAACTCAGAATTTAGAGTTTGTTGAACCGACTGTGATCTCTTCAGGGTCATGTTCAGAGTTTCTGAATCCCATTTTCTGGAAAAGGGGCCATTTATCAAGCTCTGTTGTGCATCCATTTTCATTTAAATTACATGGAAGGTGTTTTTGAACCAGAGGAGTGTAAACTGTGAATTACACTCAGTCTCACCTTGTAATAGTTGATTAGGTTGAGGTACTGAAGCGTGGAAATAACGTCTTCTTTCTTTACACTTGTGATTTCACTGATCTCACTGTGGGTATAAAAAGATACATTATTCAATCTGTTCTAAAAATGGTTCTATAAGGACAGCGAAAGGTTGAGATAGCCCCATACTTGATGGTAATCTGAGGCCTTTCTCCATTGTCAGGTTTAAGGTCCATGAGAATTTCCAAGATGGTCTGTGACCAGTAGGAGCGATAGGACAAGAGACCGAGGTCAGAAAGCGGCTTCTCCGGAGTGCCCGTCTTTCCTTCTACCTTGGACAGCTCGTAACCTGACAGATACAGTGAGCCAAAGGTTATCACAGGTGAAATGAACCAAGACATGTTCAAACATTAAAATTTAGTGATTACAATATTTTCTGAACTTACTGAACTCGATGAGCAGTTTGCCGTAACCTCTCCGCTGGTACGGAGGCAAGGTGAGGATGCAGGCAACGTTATAATCTTCAGTCGACTCTTTTTCCTGCACACAGGAAATAAAAACAAAATTGACCTCTGGGAGCCCCTAGTTTGATAGAGGACTGATACCAAGCAATGATTAGTGAACTGCACATTCACACTGTAACCGTAGTTTAAAATCCCCTGTATAATTTGTGTACCTTAGAGAAGTAGCCCACTATGTGGAAGCCTTTGGAGTCATACTCTGTCATTACGTAGAAGAGGAAAGGGTCTGTGTCGTAATACAATGTTTTGTGGTCCAGGAAACACTTAGCGAGTAAACACAGGTTCTGCGAATAATTCTGGAAAATGAAAACAGACATGCATCAATCGCAAATAAACAACAACAAAATGCTGTAAAACTGAGGAAAGACTAAAACATCCTCTCACTAACTTTGTTTTTCCTGCCGTCAATCTCAAAGAACGAGATGGTGCCTTTACGGTAGATCTCGTTGCCTGGAGGGTGTCTTAGATTACATTTGGTCTGTCAAAGATGACAAAAAAGAAAAGACCATGAGAGCAATGTGGAACAATTCCAACTTCAGCTGGTGACATTTCTAAGATATTTAACATTTAAAATGAGATTCTTACCAAATGCCTCTGGAGACATTTGAGGCTTTTGAGGTACTTGAGACAGAATTCGCAGAGGTAGAGGATGGGCAACGCAGTGAGTTCCTGTGGGTACGGTGAGAAGTACCAGGGCTTCAGTCTGTGCCGTCCCAGCTCTATGCACTCAATGTTTTTCATGCGTGTGACGATGTCGTCGTGGCTGCGATCGGACACCAGACTGCCTGTCATGCGCGGTGCAGTCGGGATGCCATCCGAACTGTCCTGGGAATCCTGTTGGTAAACAATGTGAGCATGACACATTAGACACTCACGCTTCAGTGACTTTCAAGTCGATAAAATTGTTTGAAAACAAAAAGCTGCTCGATCATTTACATTGTAAGATTTTTTTTTCTTTCTCACACATTTAGACTTCATTAAGTAAGTAACGTGATTAATCACAGTTGTCGTACATGTTACTAGAAGGACTAACTTGGGTCTGAGGTAAGCAGCACCTCTGTTTTATTGGACCCACTAAGGCACAGCTGAATTTGGACAGCAACACACAATCAACGGGCAATAATAGGAAATAAAACAGACCTCTGGTGGTGGTAGAAAGACACTGGCGGTTTGAGGGTTGTTATACTGCAAAACCTTTATCATCTAGCAGAAAAAGACACAAAAACACGGGCTTTTGGAAACTAAAGAGGGGAATAAAATGATTCTTATTTACACTGAACACGATGGTTAAGGGGGCAGATTGAAAGCAATATTTAACTTCAGCAGAACATTTGTAGTTTTAGTACGTTTCCAGATGGGTTCATCAGGAGCCAGCCAGGTACACTGGCAATCAGAAGTTGTGATAGAGATGTTAGAGAGTAAATGAAAAGTGGGGAAAAGAGCAAACACAAAAGTTCATTTTATGTGGGTTTATCAGTTTTTGTAATGTACATAGAGAACCCACTAGCCACTGTCAGTGAAGACAATGTGAAAATGTGGGAGGTCTGCTGCAGCAACATAAAAGCGAAGCTGCTCATGTGCAAGTAGCTCGACGGAGTAAACAGAAATCCTGAAAATCCAGAGGAGGTCTGACTTTCTAGGTTTGGTCTTTTTTCAGCCACTTTTTCAGTTTATAACTGCAATTCATTGAAAACATGTATGCAATCAAGATGGACCAAGTTACAATCAGAAAACAAAACAGTATATTGAACGCTATCGAAAATAAAGACTGTTAAAAATCTGTCACTACTGTGTGATCTCCATACAGTCTGGAAATGTTTTCATTTTGTGTTGCATCAGAAATCACATAAATACTCTGTTACAGAACTGAATGTCCACAAACAGCAACACCCGAGACCCACGGAAAATCATCTTAACCTCATGTGGAAAATAAACACAACAAAGCCTGAGGATTCTATAGAAAACAATACCTGCTGAAAATAACCAGAGTGGATGTTGAAAAGAGAAAATGCATGAAAACACAACACAGCAGGTCATTACGTCTGTTTGTTAGTCTGAAGATTATGATCCAATTATCAAACATTAACACTTAAGAGTAGATGTTAGACTCAAAACCGACAACTCATGACCAGACAATGTAAATGTAACATGTAGTATCCTGCTTCAAACAACTTGACAAACACAAAATACAAAATACAACGGGGAAAAAACAAATTAAAAGCATAAACTGCACAATATTTTGATGGGATAATATAATGATTAGAATAGAGCATGTGAAAATTGAAAAAGGAACCAATTCTGTCATTTAAAAGAAAAAGACAGAGAGAAAAATGACAAAGATTTAATGTTTTTGTTTTTTTTTAAACTTTCATTGCTACTATTACATTTGAGATTTGTGTACATTTCTGTACTGCTGAAGGGAGTATTTGTAACCAAAGTGCAGAATTTGTGCAACAGCTATGCATCACTTTAAAGGATTTTATCACCTGCTGAATTTGGGGATGGTACCTTAAATGAACTCAAGTATACTGAACATGTGTTAGCGTTCAGTGCTCAAAATAAAAGGCTATAAACACATGCATCTACCAAACCCAAAAGATACAGACACATAAGGTATACGTTTAAAAATGGTGAAAATAAACTGATTGTGAAGGTGAAGCCTATTAAAGCTGCATACCTCGTCAGTTCCACCACAATTAGCTTTCCTCTTCCTCCCAGGCTGAGACGGGATGAGTCGTCGGGCAGTGCCGTTCTAGTGTCAGAGGAAAATGACACATTTGTTTACTAAGAAACAACTAAAGATTTTTAACTTAAAAAACAGAAAAATCCAAACGCACTTCCTTTACCGTTGTGAGCGAAGAGAGCTGCTCATGGTCTTCGCGGGCCTTAAAGGTGTTGGTCTCCCTCACAGCAGGAAAAACAGATGCCTGAGAGGCTTCAGCTGAACTTGGCAGGGAGGGCACGGGGGTGGCAGGGGGTACCTGAGTCGCCAAGGGGACGGTCTCCACTTTCCTCTTCTGCAGCAAACATACATTGTTAGACATTCGTCCCAAAATAAGCACAGACACTTAACTGAATGCAAATTTTTGCTTTTCAAACAAGATTAGGGTTTTTTGTGTGTTTTTTTTTTTATTCCAGCCTGACCAGAGGTAGGCGTTCCAATTTTCAAAATACGCACCAATGTCATGAATAACAGCTGGGTACTCCAGTTTTACTTTATGAGGAGTGTAATCTAAGCAGCAAGGTGCATTACTAGCAAATGGACAGAGCTAAGACTGTGTCTTTTTAATAGCCACAGCAAATCAAATTAAACTGATTTGTCCAATTTGTGGCTAAAATAGTCCAATGTAAATTACACCTCATTTAAACCTGGTGTTAAGATGTCATGGAGACAGAGAGCTGCAACTGCAATTAATAATGTTGTCAGGAGCCAAAAAAAAAGTTTTCTATTTTGTTCATAAAGTACTTTCGGGCATGTGATTTCTGTAATTATATTCAACACTTGCAGATAATGAAAGCTCATAGCATAATTCACTTTTTGCACAACACAACATTGATTATAACAAAGCCAAAGCATGCCAGCTACCTTGAAAGATTTAAAGCTGAAATGTGGCCGGAGGAGTCACACCTCATAAACATTAGGTTAAACTGTGTATTAAACCACTTCCACATGGGAGCTACATGACTGGATTAACATCGTCTTTTGTTGTGTCACAGCTCTTTATATCTACATTTCCACGCAGTTCAGCATGAGCTGACAGCTGTACGATCACACAAAACACATGTTGACACCAGGTTCAAAAAAGGCTTCAGTCATTTCTAGAATTGGTAAATTCAACTTGTACCGGCGTAGGGAGGGTTTTGCCTCTGGAAGGAGCTGCGGCAGTTTGTAGGTTGAGATCTAGACTCTTCCTCTGAATTGAACAGAAAGGAAGAGAAGGAAGGCGATTAACTGACATTCATGCTGAGCCTCAGGTAAATATTCAGGTTTTCACTGCACATACAATTTAACTAGTGACTTGAACAATAATGAGCACAACATTAAGAAAGAAACTGCAACAGATACTGTAAAAAAATAAAAATTTCTGTGGCAGTCATTTGAAGAGAAAGAAGATTTGATGAAGCATGAACACAATCACTTAAGAATGAAACCGGAGGAAAACAATCTTCGTCCTAACACGTACTCCTTAAATATTTTACTGAAATGAAAATATCAATTTTAACACATCATTGACCACGCTGCATGCAGCATAAAGTATGTCATTACTAAAGAGATCGTGTAAATGGTTGCTAATATCTTGCAGTCACACTGAGGTTTCTGCCCAGCAAAACAATCACCAATGAAAGTCATCAACATAGTTTTTCTTTATTAACCAAAGCGTTGAGCAGTCACAGTACTGACCACTAATTTCAATTACTACTCTTACACAAAAAACAGGTTTTAATACCTACAAGCAATCCTCATAACATAGTAACTGAGACATCGACATTCACTTCTGGGAGTATTTTGAAGCAATACAAAAGGCTATCTTTTACAGTTTTACTCATTTAATCCATCATTCACATCGTCTAGTCTTACTGGTACTTGTCTTTTACAATTAGCGTTTTTGCAGCTGCCAAACACAGTGAAATATAACAAGCAGGCTCATAGTGTGTAGACAAATGCTTAAATAATTGTAAAAGGATCATGCTAATTCGGATCATATTGATGCAATGTTTGAGGGTGTGAGACAAATGTTCAGCGATGTAAGACAAGCTTACCACTTCTCTCTCTGGAGAACTGGGACGGGAACCTGGAAGTCCATTCTTGGTTGGTGTTTTAGCTTCTTTCTTAGGGAACTGAAGCTTCTTCATGTCCAGCCGGTCCCCTGTGACCCACTCATCCAGGCGCTTGTTGACTGATAACAAAAGCAATTTCACACAAACAAGTACACAATTGCTGTGACATTTCTGTGTGCTGCAATCCAGTCTACAAAGTGATCATAACCACGGGTGGGTGAAGAAATTGATTCACAAACGTCTTGTGATTGTTAGCCTTTGTGATTCTGTATTGACGCACAAATGCAACACAAAAATTGAGTCTAAAATTTTAAAAAAAGGCATGTGTTTGGCCACATTTTTGATCAAAAGGCTAGAATTAGCTTTCCTGTGTGTTAACTTTAACAGTGACCGCTAAATTGTCAAAGAAAAACAACAACAGGCGTGAGCTGTACTCACAGTCAATGTAGTGAACATAGTAGAGCTTTCTCGAGGAGACCTCCTTCACACTTAGAATTTCAGCCAATGCTGTAAGAGAAGCAAAGAAGTCACATTCAAACTGAACTGTACAGAAAAAAACAAATTTATTGAGATGCATTTTTATGAAATAGCTGCAAAACAGTGTAGACTTTATGGGCTTAACAAATCTAAACAGACATTAAAGTTTGGGGGTAAATTTTAGTCACAAGTAAAGCATTCATTTATTAGACGACACAAAATTAAGTGTATAAATACAATATAACGTTTACTGTTTTGCAGTAAAATACCAAGTCAAATTCCATGTATGTAAAAACTTACTTGGCAATAAAACCTTTCCGATTTTGATCTTAACTGGTATCAGGTTGCTGAGTTGGCAGGAAATTGTTGCTTTACATCATGGTAAGTGGCGCAATATTAGGGATTTAGACATTGGGATGGACAACTCTAGTAATTTGAGAAGCTTATGCAGCTTGGGGAAGTATGCATATGCATTTTTTTTTTTTTTTTAAACCAAAATCCCCAAATTTCATAAATATTAAAACAATGAATTAAGCAAATATTAACATAAACAGGCAACAGTTCCAACAGAAATTAGATCCCTAAAACGGATTTCAACAGGAAAACTATCATAACAGTATCTAAAGCCAAATGTTTGGAGAATCAGTGCACAAAATCTATTTGGATATGAAGCTAAGGGTGTCATCCGGTATGAGAATTGGCACTGAGGTGTCAGAATAGAAACGCTGCCACAATGAGCTCTGTGATGATGAAAAAAACTGTTTGACTGAGAAACTGTCACTGACTTGTCTGACTAATACTAAGTGTTTTCATCTTAGGACCTGCCAAAACAATGAGGGTCAACACTTCAGTAAAAAGTTAGTTTTTAAGTGAGTTGCAGCATAAGTTCAGGCAAACAGCTGTTTCACTTGAACAGTTCTGTTTATGATTTGTACACATCTGCCGGGTGCCGGGATTTCGCCTCGTTTATCGCCTATAAAATGTATTATATTAAAATGTCACTCGGAGTAGGCTTGTTAACATCTAAATGAATGACATGGACTTTAGCAAGCCTTCACATTAAACCCAGTCTGGCTGTCCAGCTGCATGTGTCCTGTGTGAGTGACGGTGTTTACAGCGCTTTAACTGGAGGCCGTGGCTCCTGTTAACAACAGCTGAGGTTAGCTGCTTAGCATTAGCTTAGCACTGGAAAAACAAACGGACAATACTTACGCCACTCGTCTTCGTGTTCTTGGTTTTTGCGAAGAACCGGGAGGCGACAGCCCTCCACAATCTCGACCTGTAAAAGACAATGTGTCAATTTGCGTCCCGAAACCGGTCAATGTCTCTAAAATATCATTATATCTTTCGAAAACCTACCGATGATCCGTTGTCCGCCATTTTCGTCATCTGTGAGAGCAGGAGCGGCGCGGGGTGTTGTGGGAAAATGCCGGTCCACATCAAAGAGGAAACAGACAGCGAGATGAATCTCTGGAAACGTCTCCGACGTCCAGATCAAAGACAAAACCAACTGCAAGATGAAAATCTACAAACATCTAAAACGACGGATAACTAACCCAGACGAATATGTCGGTTTTGTCATTAATACATCGGCGTTTTTATATCTTTGCTGAGCATATCTTCTTTTTTTTTATCGAAAAGTTTGCTGTGTAAACATCCCTATTTTTAAAACACTAAACAAACATCCCTTTACGCTATAATACCAGTTGCTGCATGACTCTTCTGAGCAATAAGTAAGCTATATTTGGTTGGAAGGCCAAACTTATTTACGTTTTAACCTCATTTCAGTGATATCAACTACACCTAACTACACTTCATACTGCTTCCAGATTTGCATTGATAGTTTTATTGTTGGTATGATTTTACTTATTTTTTATACAGAAGTAGCCTTTTTTGTGCTCATTTATTTGTCGCTGTGTTGACAATTTTCACCATATATTGGATATTATACTTTATGCTTCTTATTTATTGTTCCAAAACCATGCAATAAATAAATACCAGATGTTGCTGCTAGCTAATTTCCATCTCCCTGAGCATGTAAGCACAAATTACAAGTACATATCTATGTACTTATTGCTAATAAATACATAAACACAAATAATAATGTCTCTCTTCAACTTCTGTGCATGCTTCCCCAGCTTCAGGGGTCCAATGAAGTATTGCTCAGTCATCCTTTGCATTAACTCGCCTTTGAGACACATCTTGCATACCAAGACTTTCAATGATCAGTGTCACTCTTGAGTGAAAGGACTGAAGGAATTAAATTTTTTGCTGCTTTTTGGACTTCTTGGCTTTTTCATGTGTTGCTGGGGATCTGTGTCTCCTGTCCTGCTCTTGTTTCACTTACCCAGGAGCAGATAGCTATGCTTATTTATCTTCAGTGTTGGGAGATGGCTACACCCCTGAGAAAAATGTATAAATCAACTATTCGTTTAGAAAGGTAGCTGTCATTTCATTGACAAATGGCAACACAACAGGCATCCTGGAGAGTCAACCCATTAAATTCCGTCATGGCCTTGATGCTGAAGATGAGAAACTAAGTCCTCTAGTGGCAGTTACTCATAATACACAAAACCTACCTTCAATGTTTTCTGGTTGGTGTCTGAGCTGTCTTGAGGCCAAAGGCATCAATCCTCAGACCTGATCAGTTCTCTGAACCCGAGGTTGTCCTTCACCCTGAATGTACAAACCTTGTGCACACGCAGGACCAGCAGTTTGTTTAAGAGTTTCCTCCACCGTGCAGTGATGGAGAACACTCAGGGAGCCCCATCGGAGGCAGTGCAAAGTCAGCTGGATTTTTTACAAGAGTGTGACAGCAGAGAGTTGTGTTGTCAAAACCCACCCTTCACCTCTGATTTCTTAACCAGCAGAGGAGCTCATTAAAGGGAAAATAATTGGCAAACTACCTGAAATGACTCATGAGTACACGCATCACGTTCCGAGTGCATGCCTTGCTGGGCTCTTGCTCCCACTTGGCTGGATTTAAGGTGAGCTAAGAGGCAGGCATGCAGCACCTTTATTGGCTCTACTCCCGCCTGGTTAGACAGCAAGCACATCGATCTGTCTCAGGGTGCTGCAGCAGAGCCTCATTAGGCTTTAACTTATTAAAGTCCATTTGATTACTATGCAGTACTCACAAACAACCTGAGCAGTGAGTGAACACTTTTCAAAGAATCGTTTCATGCAGCTATTATGCCGCAGTGTGGTGCACTTTATATCAAATGAATCAAAGTTTGGAGTATCTATGTGTCTTCCAACGTCTAGCTTTAGGTTGTTTTCGCAGTGGAATGAATAACTGTAAGGCCAATATAAAGTTATGTTTCATATATTTATGTTCATTTGCATTACTAGAAAGACAACACATACAACGACTATAATCCTGTATTCTGTCAAGGAACAAGGATATACATTTCTTGCCAGGCTCCCTGTTGTCTACAACTAAACCAGCCTCAAGGGGAAACAAATGAGCAAAAGAATATGTCGTCTACATATATTTATTTTCTATTAGACCGTGTGATATCTCAGCCTGAATGACAATTCTAAAATCTTGTGTGTTCAGTAGGTAAATCCATCCATCCATTATCTATACACCGCTTAATCCTCACTAGGGTCATGGGGGGCTGGAGCCTGTCTCAGCCGACTTAGGGTGAAGGCAGAGGACACCCTGGACAGGTCACCAGTCTATCACAGGGCCACACTTAGAGACAGACAACCAAGCACACTCACATTCACACCTACGGACAATTTAGAATCACCAATTAACCTCAACATGTTTTTGGACTGTGGGAGGGAGCCAGAAGCCGGAGAACCTGGAGAGAACCCACGCTGCACAGGGAGAACATGGAGACTCCACACAGAAAGATCCCAAACCGGTGACCTTCTTGCTGTGAGGCAACAGTGCTAACCACAAAGCCACTGTGCAGCCTCAGTATGTAATCAAATTTGACTATTTATTTGATGTTTTTTTTTTGCATACAATTTTCTTAATTTATCTGATCCTTTTTAGATGATTCAATCCAAATCTTTATTAAGGCTGCTTTTCTTTTGTCACCTGTTTTCAGTTTCTGCTGAAACGATGAATATAAATTATAACTAAACCACTTCCTCACTCTGAATAAAGCTATTATGTAAAATTGTGGAAGCACTTCAGTCCCTCTCATGCTACACTGTGTCTGCCTGTAATTACTGCTCTCACAATCACCAGGACAATGGAGCAACAAAGTGTAGAAATCATTTTTCTGGTTCTCCGTGATATTTACACTCAGCTCTCTGTTTTGTTCAAGAATACCTCCTTCATCACAGACTTTATTCTGTTGACAATAATTTAAAAAGCTGCTCTAAGTTGAAGGTTTTTGTGTTTTCAAGAGTTTTTATTTTTTTCTGATTAAAACTTGAAATGAAACACTGGCTAAGCTACATTCAGCAACCTTTAGTTGTTTTTGAAATGCCTCCAGTGTACCTTTAAAGTTAATTTTGTAGAAATGTACATTCAAAAAAGTATAAAAAGTGTGTTAAATGGTTGCATTTCGAACAACCTCAAACATTAACCTACAGTGCAAACTGTCATAGACAAAGTGTGATTTAGCAAACAACAAATAACCACATGCTCGTATGCAACAATCAGTGTTTGAGCAAATCATCTCAATGAGCGAGGGCAAAGGTTATAAATTATCTTTATTATAATCCTTGAAACAGCGTTCAGTATACAGAACTTGCATTTTTTTGAGTTGAGAAATCGTAAAAGTAAACTGCAAATGATAAAGAAATTATATCAGACAAAACTAAAGAAAGAACAATCTGTGTAAGACAGCCTTAATTCCATCACTAATTTTCAATCAGAAAATCAAAGCTTTCTGCAGGGAGAGCCTGAATATTGTTACTTACCATGCATGATAGAGTGCATTTAAGTCGGGTGGCTTAGTATGAGAGACGGATGGAACAGTGATATGACAAATAAAACAAGAGTGTCAGAGAGACTGAAAAAAAACCTTTTCGATTTGAACATGCGCTCATCAGCTGCATCCCGCAATATCACTTCCAAGGCTTCTTCGTAATGCATATCTATGATTACATTTGATCAAGATTAAATGACTTAGTGTCTCCACTGGAGCAAAATCGCATCCTTCAATAACTGTCAATTTTTTTGGACCTGAAAGAGACGCCGGCAAACTAATCTTGCAAATCAGGTGAACCGGTGGGATCTGAATGGCTACAAACTTTGTGTTTTCAGAGCACTTTCTTTGGTCAGAAAATTAATTAGAACATTGGACAGCCATCTCACTGAGAAGTCCACCCGCTATATTTCACATTTTGCGGCAGAAGAAGGATGATTTGTTTTCTTCTTTGGTAACACAGGCCCCTTTAGACCTCAGGCCAAAGACTTTCTCCAGACTGCTTAATGACTTCAACGCTGCTAATTATCCCTGCTTTGTTCGTGGGCTGGAGCTGTTTCTTTTTCTGCAGTTTTGTTAAAATTCAGTCATACCCACAGGTCAGCTTATAACTCATGGCTTTTGATAGAAGTCGGGGGAGCTTAAAACAACACATCCTCTGTGTTGGCAGGAAAACTGGCTCTATGCAATATTTTTTCCCCCCATGCTACACATTTTCCAGCACTGACTCAAGAACCAATTATCTTGGCGAACATGGCAACATCTGCCCAGTGGCGTTTATCCCCCTCTTTTGTCTCTCAAATTAAATCATTATAACAATCCAGTGGATTACGTTAGCTTATGTTACTGAACAGGAGCAACAAAAACACAACTTAAAAAGTTCTGATTGCAGTGTCACAATTTCCCTCCATGAAGTTGTTCTCATGGAGTTAGAATACCTTTGGATGGTTATTGCACGTAATAAAACGGGAACAAAAGGACTCAAATCAAGTTCTTAAACTGACAAAGTGACTGATGCAGTAGAAGTGGAGGTATAACAGTAAAACATCGCAATGTTGACTATTGCTATTTATGACAGAGTCCAAACCTCAGCTGCTGCAGTTTTCTCTCAGTCTAACAGTGAAGCTGATCATTGATTACTGATCTGCTCTCTGATCAAACTGCCCTCTTCAGCTACATGATGACACATTTGGTTGACTGTTGTTTATCCTTGCCTTCTTCCATCTGTCACTTTTCACACGTTGTTACCTTCTCACTCCTGACTCTCTCTTTCTTTTAAAAAAAAATCTACACCAGTGACGCACGCTCGATTCCAGATATACGCTTCCGTTCAGCGGAAAGCAGAGGATTTGCATCTCCTCAAACATGGCAGGATACACACGATACATTTGGATGAGGAACTAAAAATCATTATACTATACTCTGAATTTTCATTCCTAAAGTGAACATGCAACATTCAGTTGCTGTTTTTCCCGTTATACTTTCAAGCAGCGCTCGTCTCATAGATATATAAAAATAAAATTAAATA